TCAGCCACGACTGACCTAAGTCGATAAAAAATGGGTAGCAACTGTTCCTTCGCCATGCGCTCAGCACTTTGAAGTGAAAGTTGCGGGTCCTTCGTGTCACGGCAGGCGTTGGCACTGCCTCACTGCTCAATGGCCCTGAGTGCCGAGTAAAGGTCAAAACTTGAAGCCCTTCACCGGTATTTGGTGACATCTCTATATGAGCGAAAAATTCTCGAATGGGACGTTAAAAAACATACAATCAATAAATCAATAACGAAAATTACATTAGGAAATAGTTATGATATATGAACTTTAATAAACAATATTCCAGAATAATATTTGATATTTATAAATTTTAATGTAACATTTGATTTTACAAAAAGAAGTCAGTATTGAAATATATATTATTTTGTCACTACATAGATTAGTTTCAGAAAGCACCGTGTCTTATCTGGCTTGAATCCAACACGTTTAACAAAAGTTTTATTTAAAAATCCTCCTTGTTTTTGCAATGTTATGTATTATATTAGCCCACAGTGGTGATTGTGGTTTGTGAATGAGAGCAATAAAGCTGATTGTCGGTAAGATAAGCAAGATGTTTGGGGTATTTATTTCATAGAGGAATTATATATTTAGCTTAATATGGAGTTAATCTTTGGTCATTAGCAGTTCTTTTTCGTATTACAATGCTGTGACATCATAGCTGAATAGTTTTGAGACTTCATAGCTATAGTTACTAGGCGAGTATGAGATTGAAAATTGTAAACATGTATTTAAACAATTTGGAGAAACGGCGTATTTTCTTTCGCACTCTTAGTGAAAGATCGAAGGAGAGTTTCACATAGAATTTATTATTTTTACGATGAAAACTTGTGATTTGCACAGTGAAAATAACACCTCTGTTGAAATATCAATCATATTGATCGAATAAATTGCAATATTTCACTGATGAAAATGTAATAAATATATCTTTATAATTCATTCACATTCCCCCAATGGTCATTTTCAGATATTTCGCAATAACATGGATTACAAAGATTCGATATAGTTAATTTTTTTTAAAGTGAGCTCTGTCAGTGGCATAATTCATCAAAATCTATTTTAGCACTTTACACAGGATCATTATATTATGTACTCAGTTACAAGCTTTATTGTTTTCTTTGCCATGAACATAATTATGAAAGATAATAGGCGGAATGTGCTTTTAAGCATCACTTTTTTTCTTAATATCTACTGTACCGTCATGGTAGTCTAGTAGTACGGCGTTCGCTTTTTGATCGGAAGGCCTGGGTTCGATCTTCGATTGATGCATTGCGTCATAATTTAGACGTAAACATAGGTAGTGACTGTGTTAAGCGTCCGGCATTAGAAGTGAAATTCACGGTCTTTCGTGTGAGACCTTAACAATCGAGGCTCTGTGTCACGGTAGACGATGGCACTATAAAGAACCCTCACTGCTCAATGTCCCTGAGTGCCGAATATATGTCTAAATTTGAAGCCCTTTACCGGTATAGGGTGATGTCTCTATATAAAAGAAAAATTCTCAAATGGGACGTTATACACCATACAATCAATCAATTTAATATCTATTCGTCGGATCCACAAGAGTCTGCAATGTCGTATCGTGTTTGCTTTCAGTGTACTATTTTGTTAATCAATTATTGTTTCAAGAAATTTACATCTTTTAAGTGCCCAGCGCCAAGATTTCACACTTATACTGAGTTCTTTGTTTTCCATCTTTTACCACATTTTATTTCACTAAATTTTAGTGCTCGTAATAAGGGTGACTGTAATGTACAATACTACTGAGATCATGATCACAGTGTTCAAAAGTAATGTGTTTAACCTGACATTGAAATGAAAAAAACAGTAGAAGCGTGTTTACTTGAGTAAAAAAATTCCTGCATGATAACTCGGGTGTATTTTCTTAACCTTATACTCAGGTTCATTTATACAAGGTTAAGGACACATATTTCAAAAAAGTAAATTTCTTGCTATGGTATTATTTTGAATCAAATAATTTGAAGGCTATACTAGGCGCAAAGTTTGTTTCTAACCTGAAGAAGTGGAATAAGCTTAGCTGTGTTTTGATGAATTGGTCAAAGTCAGGTTCACTGGATTTGATTTAAAAAATCTTGTCCATACCATAAATTTTGTAATTGAATGAATTTAGAAGATAATACTAGACCAAGGGTTAATTGTGATCATAGGATATGTCATGACAATTAACAAAGGTATTATAGACAAGAGGCCCATGGGCCACAACGCTCACCTGAATAACTTTGGCCCTGCTGCTCTTCACCAGACTACCTTTTTGTAATACCTATTGTGGCCCCGCCCTACCCATGGGGGTCTTGATTCTAACAATTTAAAATCTACACTACCCCAGGATGTTTCCATATAGGTTTCAGCTTTACTGGCCAAGAGGTTCTTGAGGAGAAAATTTTTAAAGATTTTTCCTATATATTTCAATGTAAAACTTGGATTCCCTATTGTGGCCCCGCCCTACCCCCAGGGGTCAAGATTTGAACAGTTTAGAATTTACGCTGCCTCAGGACGCTTCTACAAAAGTCTTAGCTTTCCTGACCAAGTAGTTCTTGAGAAGAAGATTTTTTTTCTATATATTTCAATAAAAAAATTGGATTCCCTATTGTGGCCCCGCCCTTCCCCCGGGGGTCATGATTTTAACAATTTAGAATCTACACTACCCAAGGATGCTTCCACATAAGTTTCAGCTTTTCTGGCATATGGTTCTTGAGAAGAAGATTTTTAAAGATTTTTTCTATGTATTTCAATGTAAAACTTGGATTCCCTATTGTGGTCCCACCCTTCCCCCGGGGGTCATGATTTTAACAATTTAGAATCTACACTACATCAGGATGCTTTCACATAAGTTTCAGCTTTTCTGGCCCAATAGTTCTTGAGAAGAAGATTTTTAAAGATTTTTTCTATGTATTTCAATGTAAAACTTGGATTCCCTATTGTGGCCCCACCCTTTCCCCGGGGGTCATGATTTTAACAATTTAGAATCTACACTACCCCAGCGTGCTTCCACATAAGTTTCAGCTTTTCTGGTCCAGTGGTTCTTGAGAAGATGATTTTTAAAGATTTTTTCTATATATTTCAATGTAAAACTTGGATTCCCTATTGTGGCCCCACCCTTCCCCCGGGGGTCACGATTTTAACAATTTAGAATCTACAGTGCAGGAAACTAAATTTGTTACAGCATCGATGCTGATTTGAATGCTTCCTTTGCTTGCTGATTTGAATGCTTCTTTTGCTTGCTGATTTAATGCTAGTAATCCTTATCCTGATGCTGTTTTATAATTAGGTCAATGCTACCGGAAGTAGCATCATGCTACCGGAAGTAGATAATGAATTTCAGCATTGCCGTTTAAAGCAATAAAAGTGCCTTTTACAATTATTTGATCATAATATCTCACTATGTATAAATAATGTGAATACTTTAATCAATATTCTTTCTTTCTTTTTTATTTTTTTACTGAATTAAAACTCATTGATTTTCTGATGCTAGTAGGATAATACTGATTTTATGTAGGTCAATGCTGGTTTTATCCTTTGCTTGCTGATGCTGATCCTGGTAATGCTGTTTTTAAAATGCTGATGCTGATGCTAGCTCAATCCTGATGCTACTAATGCTTATGCTGATGCTGGTTTATGTAACAAAATTAGTTCCCTACACTGTACACTACATCAGGATGCTTCCACATAAGTTTCAGCTTTTCTGGCCCAATGGTTCTTGAGAAGAAGATTTTTAAAGATTTTTTCTATGTATTTCAATGTAAAACTTGGATTCCCTATTGTGGCCCCACCCTTCCCCTGGGGGTCATGATTTTAACAATTTAAAATCTACACTACCCCAGCATGCTTTCACATAAGTTTCAGCTTTTCTGGCCCAGTGGTTCTTGAGAAGAAGATTTTTTAATGACCCAACCCTATTTTTGTCTTTTCTTGATTATCTCCCCTTGTAAGGGGGTTTGGCCCTTTATTTTAACAATTTAAACTCCCCTTTACTCAAGGATGCTTTGTACCAAATTTGGTTTAAATTGGCCCAGTGGTTCTTGAGAAGAAGTTGAAAATGTGAAAAGTTTACAGACGGACGGACGACGGACAACGGGTGATCAGAAAAGCTCACTTGAGCTTTCAGCTCAGGTGAGCTAACAAGGTCAGGGTTACAGGGTTTAAAAGTGTCGGGAGGTCTTGGGAATGTAAAATTCAAATCTTTTAAAATAACTGCTCTACCAAATCTATTTCTTTACTCCTCACGAAAATATTATCAGAAGTGAAGGAGATAGTTAAGCAGTACTATGCCACTACATATTCGAGGAGTTTTGTTTGTGAAAACTTCCACACGTATACATAGTACATTTCATCTTTAGACACAAGTATACAATTCAAATGACCCCTTATATATCATATCTACAAATACCAAATACACATGTATAGTTGTTTTGGGGGGAAAGGAAAGGGGAGATCAGCAAGAGAAACAATTGTTCTATTAAAGATAATACAAAACGATCAGTAATTAGTTCGAATTTTTAACATTTCCTCTGAATCGGAAGAGAACTAGAAGTATATAACCTTTGTCAATTACAATGTATCACAGATATTTTACAATTCATCATATCTACAGCTTTTCTGTAAAAAAAAAATCTATCTGCGATCACCTTTAGCACAGCATCCAAATTTTATTTTGGAACACTTTGATATTTACTAGGAAAAATAAATTGTTTTACAATAAGTATTAAAAGGTTTTATGCAATTTATAAACATACATATTCGAGGATTGGTGTTAATCAAGTGTGAATACTGTATAATGAAAAAAAAAGTTAAGAAAATTTGAAATCACACTTTTTTTTCCTAAAATTAATAGGACCAAAAAAGTATTATCTAACACTTTATACGACCATTCACCACGATAAATTAAATAAAGAACTTGCTTTTTGAGATCATTAACAACTGTTTCTAATGAAATTCGCAAATTGTCATACATGTATCTCATGACTGGTCATCTACAGACTCGGTTTGATCATCTACAGACTCGCTTTGATCATCTACAGACTCGCTTTGGTCATCTACAGACTCGCTTTGATCATCTACAGACGCGCTTTGATCATCTACAGACTCGCTTTGATCATCTACAGACTCACTTTGGTCATCTACAGCCTCGCTTTGGTCATCTACAGACTCGATTTGATAAAAATCATTCTGATTCTACACACAACTAATTTAAGGCTAATATTAAAAACATACTTGAGTTCCCTTTTAACAATGTCTGTTTAAGTCTTTGGAGACCGAAATTTTCAAACAATGTTGAAATCCCCATGAGTAGTCCATCTTATCGTGTGCCTTCATTAGCATACCTGTTTTGTTATATTCTTTTGTGGCAAAAACATTCATGAACTTCTACGAAAAAAATTCTTTTCTGTGGATATTAACAATTTTGTTTAATTAAAAGTCAACATTTCGCAAAATCATGCTTACAGTATAGTAAATAAAAAGCTGACCACTCTTAGATTTGTTTACACCTTTAATGAAGCTACATAACAGGCGACATATATGCGTTCCTTGGAACACTCTAGTTTTCAATTACCATCCATCTCTAAATCGAATGTTGACTGACCATTTTAATACAATAATAAATGCTAAGCCATTATTCTCATTGTCTACGGATTATTCCGTGTACCTAATCATGACAAGGGAATCATGGCAGGTATAAACGGCCAACAGGAGATGCTTACACCTCCATTGTAACTAATCCCACCTCTGAAATATTCAGGGGTGTGTGTTTCTTCTGCTCTCAAATTTGCATTGTTTAAATGGACTTCAGAGCATGTTTTTGTATATCTTTACATTCCTCATACTTTGAACAAAGCTTATTTGTGATCAAGAGATCTGGAGTGATTTGAAGACATGGTTATTTTGAAAAGATTGCTTGGCACAGAAGTCAAATGTTCTTTGGTCCAGGATTTAATTTTATTGCTAGGATGTGGAAGCTTAAACTTTCATACTCACACGAAGGTGGCTCACGACCAGAGGTGTTACAACCTGAGACCAGTTAATTTTGAGCAAGAGACTCGGTTAAAGAATTTCAAATCTAGATTTTTTTAAAAAAAAAGATTGCAGAGTTGTTATTAAGATGTGGTTAAAGAATTGCTTTCTTTAGGTGCCCTATGGGGGTCTTTGTCCCATGAGGACAGTTTTATAATTATCATTATAGAGATGTCAGGGTCACAAAACTTTCCCATATCTTGATAAGTCCTAAGATTTTAACGATTTCTAGATTCACAATAACATTGTCTAAAACAAAAAGATAATATATGTACATATATATGCCAGGTATACTAGTTACCGTAATAACTGCAAAGTAAACCACCATATTACTTTAAGAATACATATTTCTACAATTTATCAATTACTTTTCAATTTTGCATTTTATTGTTATATAAGCGGTGGTATAAGACAAAACTGCAATTCCTCTTATTTTCTGAGCAAAAATGCATGTACGCCACGAATCTAAGCATATTTTCTGTCTTATTGTTTTATAACATAATACAATCTCTATGAGAGTTTGTTGGTGAGGATTTTCAGCAAGCATGAAATCTGCGGAATGTTCATTTTTCTTTGTTTTTCCCTCAATCATAATTGAATATTTTAAGGTAGTACATTTTTAATGAACATGAAAATGTCTTTACAGTATCATTGAACAGCTAAAAAGATTAATAATCCTTCACGCATTAAAATGGTAGTGTAAATAATTCTTAGAAACCCGGTATAATTATCTATATTTTATACATTATAGAAGAAACGGACTATCCGAAAACAAAATGGGCGGTATGGTTCAAGTCCTTAGATGCTGACAGGGATAATAAGCTCACGATAGAAGACATGCAGATTTCTGCGAAAAAGTTTGAAGAAATAAAGAAAATGTTAATCGGCGATAATGCTAACGAAAACACTTTTGACAATACGAAATGGTGGAACACTTATATCTTTCGCAAAGGCCCTGGTGTAACATTGTCTCTTGAGGATTTCCAAGCTGGCCTAGGAGAATCTTTCCAGAAAGACAAGGCAGCATTCCGACAAGAAATGGAGAGATGTTTTGGCGATATCGCTGCTTTCGTTCCAGACAATAATGACCGACCAATCCAAGAACAGGAGTTCGTCTTCGGACTCAAAGTTTTTGGTCAAGAGGATTTGGCACAAGTGGCCAAAGCTTACCAGCTGTTCAAGGCCACCAAGGGTCAACCAACTGTTCAGCACATAGTGGACGCCTGGGCCCAATTCATCGCTGACGACGACGTAACCAAACTGGACATGGTCAAAGAGGCTTTCGGAAATTAAATGGCTATTGACGTCTTGTCATTGTTATCATTAACATTTATTATGAAGTCTCGTCTGTGAACAGGACTCTGCATGTTGTCATATCAACAGTGTAAATTAACCCAGTAGTTGTGTCATTGAGGTTATTACAATAAGAATTTTTAATTGTTGTACGCAGGTAGGTTAAGGTTTATAGGAAAGTGGTTAAAGATAGAATTTACATGTATATTTGTGTATATAACAAGTTGGGGCAAGTGATTAATTATGGTTAAAGTTAAATATTTTGTGAAAAATCCATAAGAGGAGAATGTTCTATAAATGAATCTTGCTTGGGATGGAAGTATAATCGCTTCGCTTTGATATAAATTACGATGAAAAGTGGAAAATATCTTCAAATGTGTAGGTAAGTTGAGATTCCCATGAAATCTCTGGCTCCTCCTAAGCACTTTTCAGGTACATTAGGATACAAACTTTTTTTATGTAACAAAATTTAAATAAATATATGTTAAGCACTTGCTCTGTTTGCAGCACTTGATAAAAATATAAATGACCATCACATGATCAACCAGGTCATGTGATATCGCAACAAATGTGCCAATATATAGTTGAGACATCCCTTTGTGCAAATTGTCTGTATTTATAATCAAAGCTACATACTGAAATCATGCAAAAGCGAGCTGGAAATGTAATATATGTTTTGAATGCAATTTAATGCTTCAGACAGCCTAAACATAGCTGCGTATTTAACGTATCTCCATTAATTCCTTTATGATGTAATTTTTTTATTGGCACCTACTCCAGGATATTTTGTATGTTTATGTATGAAAATTATAATTAATTATGTTTTTTTTTTATATCGCTATTGACTTTCCACTATTAAAGTACGTGGAGATCATTTTGCTTTGTCCTTTAACTAAATTTGCTTGAATTTACCAGAAATTGTTAGCTAGTGAAATAAAATTTGAAAACCGTGTATATTCTTTTATGATTATTAATACTTGGTGACGACATAAACTTTTAACATCTTCTTTTAACAACATTTGAATTTATATATATAAAGATTCCATTAAATTTTCACTAACTCCTAATTATCTCCCCTTGAAAGAAGGCCACGCCTTTCATTGAACAAACTAAATTTCCTTCACTGAGGATGCTATGTGGCAAGTTTAGTTGAAATTTGGTTCTTGAGAAGAAGTCGCAAATGTGGAAACGTTTACAGACGACAGACAACAGATGGACGTCGGACACCCTTTGATTAGAAAAGCTCACTTGAGCCATCTGCTCAGGTGAGCTAAAAAGATCATAAGATTTTCGAGATTAACAGTTATAGTCATCAAATGGGATCATCAAACATATAACCTGATTTAAGTTATAATTTCCGAAAGTTGTTGAATAAGAAAGATTTTTTTCAAACGTTCTTACAATAATCCCATCCATTTTGATATTAAATGATGTGAATACTGAATCAAACATTAATGGATTTAGGAAAGGATTTTAATCTACATAATTTTTTTTATTCATGGTTTTTATAAAATGCTATAGAAAATACATTTACTATCCAAGAACTCAAGTGAGTGAAGGTTAGGAATAGGCGTTTCTATTAATGAACCAATTAGAGCACATAAGGGCTATACCTATTATACAGAGAAGGCTAAAACTTTTTGTCTCATACATACTTAGTACCCACGACATGTTATAGCCAGTGCACTTTATAATTGTTCTTTACTACACAAGGTTATAATGCACATCAACAAAAAAGCTTCAGCGAAAGGGCCTACCCTACTTAATTTTACAGAAACAGGATATAATTAGAAGCAGAATATTTCAATATAATAGATATGAACAAGAGGTTGAAACACTAACACTCACTTTCTACAAAACAGCTGAGACAGAAAAACACACGAGTAATGCAGAGGGGTATGTCATCCTGACATGAAGTAGTAGAGTGAAATGACACGAGGTTTATACTTATTCATTATTTGAATACTTAATTATTACCTGATTTCATGGTGTGATTTCTTGCTGCAAAGATTGATTTTTAATAAATATTTTTATGCTCGATTTTTTTTATTTTCTACTTAATCTTTTTCTTGGCCTGAAATATTTAAAGTGTACTGAAATGTCATATTTATTAGAAATGAAACAAAATGTGAAAAAGAAGCAATTTATTTCCAGTGATATCTTCGACACAGTATTTCCTCGTGATGTCATGAAAACCAGTTAATAAAAAAATACAAGTTACGTGCATTGACACAATATACATTATATTAATCATTATTGGTAAACTTCACTTATTCATTTCTTTAAATTTAGAAAAGAACGACATTGTGTGCATGTGTTTATTCAGAAAAACAAATTGCCTTAGCCTTAAAAAGTTTTTTTAATAGAGAAAGAAACACGTGTTGAAGTTGAGAATTTGGAAGTAAAAATAAAATACTTTATATACATGTACATTGACTGGCACATAAAACGTTCTAGGTTTTTAAAAATTCTACTCAAAAGTTTCAGAAAATTATTTTTTATCAAGTTGATTTGCAAGTAAATGGCCTAATTTTATGTTTCTTCAGATTCAGTTATTCCAGGGTATGTAAGTATATATATTGTTTGTATACAAGGAAACATTTTCAAAATAAAACATAATTTAAAAAAAAAATGACAGTTAATGGCTGTTCAATGTAATAGTTGTTTCAAAACACACCGATGTAATGACTGATACCGTTTAATTCCTTTCAGATGTTTCTTTAGATGGATAATATGCTTGCTGAAGAAATTTTTACTATGAATATTCGTAAGATATACAACATCAGCATCGAAGACAGGGTCTGATACATGATCAACTTCGTGGTACTCCCAATTATATGTCTTTCGAGGGTCATAACTGCAATTTTGATTGTTTTGATGTTCTTTTCGGTTGACACATCCCAAAATATGCATCAACTGACAATATATTTCAAAACTTTTTTAGACTAATAGTTTCTAAACTATTCAGTCTGACTCACTCTCCTATCTTTGTATGACACATTTTGAGGCCTTGGGAAGCATGACAACGTTTATGAATCCTTCGCTTTTAGAATAAAAAAGATCGTGAATCAAATACATCTTATAAATTTTAGCCCTAATTCTAAAAGTATGGTACCTTGCCTCATTTTAGTTTGTCACTCTATGAAACCTATAGCTGCATATATACATCGATCAGAAGATGATAAGAGTCTGTTATACGTATTAAATTTGAAACCATTTAAAATACTAAAATTTCACGCTTAGTTTGTTTGAAGTGTCCTGATACCTGACAAAAAAATAGAAATTCGAAAATATTGTCAACCTTATGTACAAATTCCTTAAAATATCTGCTAGGATTTTTTTAAAACTGTTTTATATATTTCCGTAGTTAACTCTCTTTCTTTTTTATATTAAAAAAATCCTTGTTCCTAGGATAAAAGGTGAAAAATATGAATCTATATTGCCTAACAGTTTCTTGAAAAATATACTCTATATGAGCTTAGCAAAAAGATGGTTAATGAAGAAAAGGTTAAAAAACAACAGGAGTGTGAGGGTCATTGGCAACACATGATTCAGCTTTGTCTTCCTGGAGAATACACATATAAGTAGAGAAAGCATTAGTATAGCTGTCGGTCAGTAGTCCATTGTTTCAACATCTTTTATTTACTGTATATTCAGGCTCGTGCATACATAAGCCATTCTAGCCATGTTGTTCATTTAGAAATCTCTGTATTTTTAGATATATGTACAATTGGATTTAAAATGTATTTTTCATCAGACCTAGCCTTGAGAGCCATATTTGATTCAATATGTCTTGCATGCTTGCATTTTAAACTGCCTATCTGTGGCCCTGTAATTCTCGATCGAAAGATATTTACAATCGTTTTTTACAATGTACCCCCTTTTGAAAGAGTCCATCCTATTTTATCAAACTATTGTCCTTGAGAACATATATCATAAACAGTGGCCCTGTTGAGAATTAAGTAGATTCTTTAATTTAATTGTATAGTACCATTTCACTGTGATTCAATCAGGGGATCAGGATTTTAACAAAATTTAATCTCACAACATTGGGACGTTTTATTTTCCCTTGACTTACATTAAGTTGATGAAACAAGAATATCAGCTGTCTCGTTTAAAGTCATCATTTCGTAAATTCTATGGTCGATACAATGACCTTGTCAGCAAATACAATTTATCATTGAGTGAAATGCTGACTGACGTCTTTCATACTAATTGTTAGGCCATTATTTACACACTGGATTGTCGACGGATTTTTCTGTTATTTCCCGATCATGACAAGGAGCACACGGCGGGTGTGACCGGTCGGCAGAGGATGCTCACTCCTCCATGGCACCTGATCCCACCTCTGATGTTTAGAGGTCCGTGTTTGCTCTGCTCCTATTTTGTGTTGTTTAATGGACTTTTGAGCTTGAATACTGTTCGTTATCTCCATATATTTCATTGAAGAACATTTTGATATAGATTCCTTATTTGGACTTTGATCACCTATAATTGTGGCCCCTTTTTATCTCTTCTTGCAATGATTTGAACATAAATTTAAGTGGTGAATAGGTAGTTTTTTTAGCGAAGTTATTTTTGAGAAGGTTTCTTCTTGATTCTGTCGTTTAATTATGTACAGACCACTGTGTACTCTGAAAAGAGCATGAACCTTTATTTTAACAAACTTTCATCATCTTCAACTAGCAATGCTTTAAAGCAAATTTTTCCAATTTGTCCGAAATTAGGTTCTAAGTTTATCTTTCAGGTGAGCTGAAAAATCAAAATCTTTTACAAATTAAATGAAGAACAATTCACGTCTACAAAATAATGTAAATAAATGCAAAAACTTTTACAAAGGGGACATTTTTAAATTTAGATCATATCTGATCCACAAACATTATGCGAAACATTTATTTCATCTGGTGACTTTTCGGTATGCATTTAAGAACTCTCTATGTTTAATCTACAGATAATTAAATCTGATAAACGAATAATTATATATTCAAGCAAGCAGAATA